GGCGGCGGCGGCGGAGCGTGCGGGCGCGTCTGACCGGAGCGGGGCCGGCCGGCGCGCTGCGCCCTGGCTCTCCGCGGGCTCCCTCCTCGCAGTCACCCGACAGTTACGAGTGCCCGGGCGGCTGGAGCCCGCTCCCCGCGCCCGAGTCCGCGGGCGACGTCGGCTCTGGGAGTTTGAAACAGGTTATCCTTTACGAAAGAGTGCTGTCTAGGGCCCCGCACTCGCTCCCTCCCCGAAAAACACCCCCGGAGGGCTCCCCTGAGGCCCAGCGAAAGCTTCCTTCCGCGATTCCGACCCGGGCCCGGAGAGCCTGGGGTCCCCGAGCTTTGGAGGTGTGGCGTGTGAGGCGAGGCGCAAAGCCCTCCAAACCCCAGGCCACCGCTGCCCAGTGGATTCGTCCTCGGCGCCGTTAGGTCCGGAGAAGTAGGCTCATGGCGACCCTGCCTATGGACAGGAGCGACCCTCTCTGTGTCTGATAGAAGGAAACGCCGCCGGGCGCGCCATCCTCAGAAGTGTTCGTGTCTGAGCCCGTTTCTGTTGTTGCAGCCACCTAACACCCTATTCTATTCGCATTTATCCTCCAGAATGCTGACTTCTTCTCTGGGACGTCCCGTAGACCTTTTCTTGACCACGAGGTCCCGCTCTGCCTACCACACACGGTCTTTCTCCTTTTGACAGGACAATGTTTGGAATTGTCTGTATTCTTTAGGAGCCTTGGAGGCTTAGCGCTAACGCGTTGGGTTGCGAATCTCAAAGTCAGCTGTTTGAAACCACTACCCCCCGCTGGGGGGCGGTGAGAAAGAAGGGGTTTCTACGCCTGCAAAGAGTTCTCCAAAGCTCACAGGAACAGTTCTACCCTGCCCTCTAGGGTCGCTACGAGTCATCACAGACTCGACTGATGATGGCAGTGAGTTTTTCTTTAAAAATGTTTATTCTTCAGCTCTTAAACCTCACATTCCATTTTCTGCCTAGCTCACTCCTGTTGGGTATTGATCCCTCACGTTTTCATTGGTAAAGACATGATTACAAGGATATCATGATTATCAGGGTCAATTGTCTTTTATCTTAACAGAAGGTGTGCATAATTCTACCATTTGTTACTTTTGACTAGTGCTTGCACATGTACTTACCATGAAAAAAATGTTTCCAACCTATCTGTGTCCTTACATTCAATTTGTCTCGTAAGTAACTTGCAGCCTGAAAATCTGTGATTTGTGTTGCACACGCAGGTTGCCTCAAAATCCTGAGTCGCAATGCCTGCTAGTGCGACTCTTCCACCGGATGGCACCAAGCACTTGCTTATAGGAGCTAAGTCCATCCGCAGGATCCAGCCCCCACCCTGATGGCTCACGGAACACTGCCAAATGAAAACCGTTTTAGTCACCCACAAGCCGGAGAGAGCCCACCCTGAAATGGTCCCGTGACCAGTGGCCGCACTCCCTGGCCTGAAAGCTGTAGAAAGGAAGGGAACCCGTCTCTGTGCTTCAGTGCACGCTGACTGTGACTCATATTGACCCCACACACGACTGGTTAATACAGGAGCAGACAATCTCATCTTTCTCCCACCGAGCTGCTGGTGGTTTTGAACCACCAACCTTAGGATTAGCAGCCCAGTACTTACTCCACAGTACCACCACGGCTCCTTTGCACCCTGAACTGGAGACTAGGAAGCCCTTTCCGAACCTGTTTTCTATTTCAGGGAGTAAGTGTCTGACTGCCCCCAGCACCATGCAGATAGTGCCCCCTACTACTACTCCATGAGGGGATGGTTAGACACGTGGGTGCCAGCCCCAGATTATAGCCTGTCAGTTCTGTTAGGCATTAGGTGGGGTGGTGGTTTATTTATAATTTATGAAGATACTAGAAGAGAGGAGTGGGGAAGAACACCGGCACTGGGTCTGCCTGAGGGACTGCCTCTTCCTATCACTTAATTGAAACATTTAATCTGTTTACATTTAACACAGTTACTAATATAATTGGGTATAAATCCTACCATCTTGTTACTTCTGACACTCATCTGCCCGTTTGTCATACTGTGGTGGCTTGGGTGTTGTAGTGAATACCATGACACCAATATTTCCAACACCAAGAGAGCCACCAGGATGACAGGTTTCAGTGGAGCTTCTGGACTAGGACAGACTAGGAAGAAGGAAGAGGCATGTGTTAGTCTGGGTAGACTAGAGAAACAAATCCATGGACACGGTTATGTGCCTAAGAAAGAGCTTTATATACAAGAGCAATTGAACATTGAGAAAACATCCCAGCCCAGTCCAGATCAAGTCTATAAGTCCGGTATTAGCCCATATGTCTGATACCAATCTATAAAGTCCTCTTCAGACTCACGCACACAATGAATGACAGAGTGGTGGGTGAGGGGAGACAGCACACTGTGTAGAGCACGAAATAACTATTAATATTCATGGTTGATCGGGGATGGGGGGGGAGTGGGAGGGGGAAAGAGAAGGGGCTGCTGCCAAGGGGTCAAGTACAGAGGTTGTTATGGAGATGTTGGTGGCAGCATCTGTCCAAGTGATACTGTTGAATGATCGATTGTTGTGGGATTTGTGAAAGCCCCCCACTTAAATGATTAATTTAAAAAATCAAACAACTTATTGCCTGGGACTAATTGGTTACCTCCCAGTGGTCTCCCCAACCATACTACTGAGCCCTTCCACCATTACATCACCCCTACGGGTTACATCATTCTACGTCCTTAGTTGCACGTAATATCTGGAGTCCTTTAAAAAAAGTGTATTTGTTGCCTGTCTTCCCCACAAGAAGCTCCGTGAGGGCAGGCTCTTGCTCACGACTGTCCCCGGAATCTTGAATTGTGCTCTGCATGGAACCTAGGCCGGCTGGTTGGGGTATGATTGACTGCCTCCTGGACTAGATTGGAGCCTTTTCCAGATCAAGTAATGTTCTCCAGTTTGGGTTTTCCTCCTCTAGCATCCAGGAGTAGCGCGTGCTGTGGAGACAATGTTAATTTAAATAAGAGCCAGGAGTCCATCCATCCTAGCGTGGTACTAAGGAGAACCCACTTCTGCCTCATCTATGATATGCCCGTGGGCAGTCTTGGCCTGCTAAAATGCTCGCTAAAGAAGAGCGCGGGCAGTCTGCCCTTCCCTGCGCACCGTACGTGCCCAAGGGAAAAGCGGTCTTCCAGGTGTCACGAAGCAGACAGTAGCACAGCTATTGTTGGGTGCCTTCTCTCGCGATGCTTTGTATTTCCTCCAAAGCATAGTTACTTTAATAGGACGAAGGCCAAACGTCCAAAGATGTCAAGTTCTTAAACTTCACCCAATTAAGCTTGAATATGTGGATATGTTCCAGTGCATCTGTTTCGAGCTTCAAGCTATGAAATTAATGTAGACTTCAATACTAGCATTTTATTTATGTTAACGAAGAATGAGACTATCAGCATGCGCTCTGGTGCTCGGGGCAAATATGTCATGCACACACGCACAGGTGTAGGTGTATCAGGATAAGTGAAAAAGTATTGCTACCAGAGTCTGGTTCATGCATCCACAGGTTTACTCCAGTAAGACATGTTCAAATGTCTCTGCCATCAGTGGATGGCTGCGACAAGGTCCCTCACTCGTCTAGTCTCTCTCCTTTGGGGGCCTTCAGAACAAAAAGGTCCAATCGAAACAGTGGCTTTGGGGGGATCGATGGGGCGAGTTCAATTCAAGCTCAGAAAGTTATGACACCTGTTTCTGAGGATCTTCAAGGGATCTTCTTGGTAGACTTTCTCAAAGGATGCAGGATGATCGTGGATTATGATGCTTTAAGAACATTCAAAACTGCCCTGGGAGTAAAAGGTCAGGAAAATGCACCACGGCATTGTTTCCACGCCGACGATGCACAAAGTGTGCAAGGTCTGTTGGAACTGAATTCCCCGGGAAATCTTACCCTATCCACCATCCTCCAGTCTTGATCTTGCCCCTAAATCCAGGAATGTTCCCTTCAATCCAGGAACATTGAAAAGGAACATGATTTGATTTCCCTGAGGACATCAACACGGCCTTGTTGCCTGCCTCCTCCATGAGATCGGAGCCTTCCTCCGATCACGTAACGCTCTCAAGTTGGGGTGTTTCTCCAGCATCTAACAGTAGTGAGTGCGTTGTAGGGACAATGTTTTGACATGGTGTAAACTGAAGAACCATCAATTCTTTTTTTGGGCGGTGGGGGGGTTGTAGAGAGATGGAAACACCTTCAAATTTGTATAGACCTAGATGGAGGTGACGTCCAGAAAAAACAGCTTCACATTTTGATATTTTTGTTTGATAAAAGTGGGAACTGATCCCAATGATTGACATATAACCACCACCACTCCCCGCCCCGGCCCCAGGGGGACAAACAACAGAAACATGGGTGAAGGGAGACAGTGGATAGAGTAAGATATGAAAATAAAATTTATAATTTATCAAGGGTTCATGGTGGGTAGCAGGTGGGGGAGAGAAAAAAGAGGAGCTGATACCAAGGGCTCAAGTAGAAAGAAAATGTTTTTGAAAATGATGATGGCAACATATGTACAAGTGTGCTTGATACAATTGATGTATGGATTATTAGAAGAGCTGTAAGAGCCCCCAGTAAAATGATTTATATATAAAGTTGCTATGATTTTGTACCAATGTTTTTTTTAACTTTCCCCCATAGGTGTACATACTAGCGTGGGCTACAAAGGGAATCTTACTGTGTGTGAATGGGTTACATGTGTGTGAATGGGTTACATGTGGATCTGCTAGGAGAAAGGTGAAGGCATCTATACCCGTACAGTTTGTTGCAGAAACCCCCGGGGCACTTCTGTCCTGTCCCAGAGTGGCTGTGCATCGGAATCAACTCCATGGCAGTGAGTTTAGTGAGAAGGAAATCATTGGCTGAAAGTACTAGTTTCATATTGTTTTATTCCATAAAAAAATCAACAACAACAACAACAGTACAACAACAAACCTAATGCATACTAATAGAAGAGAATACATTTTTCAGTTGCAACTGTGTCCAAAATTAAAGCTTGGATTTATTTAATCGAAAGTCTCACACAGTGTGCTCCTTCAACACTGTAACATGTAGAAAGTGTCTCTTATTCCGGAAGCAGATCCTCTCCCAGCTCTTCATCGGCAAAATCGTCCTCTTCCATCCTCTTTTTGGCAGCAGTTTTGGGTCTTTCAATCTGAGGGCCCAGTGGGTCCACGTAGGAGACATCTAGGTTACAAAACAGATGGGTGCGTTAGAACAACAAACAGAATCAGAACAACGGGAAGCCAATTCGCCTTGCCATCAAAACCAAACAGCTCAGCGTGAACAGAAATGCTTTCCCACGACCAACTGTTGGAAGTTGTCTCTTAGAGGCCCAGGGCCCGAGGACCCGGGCGGGCGGCTCTCCAGTCGTCTTCAGCCCTGATGTGCCCTCGGGGTCTGGGGGGGAGTACCAGCACTTGCCTATTTCTTTGTTACTGCTACTTTCATAAGGTTCATTTGTCCCGGGTAAAGCTCTGAGCTTGGCATTGAGTCGGTCACCTTTACTACTGGCACTACAGTTCTGGCCACTCTCTGAAAACACAAACATAAAAATGCATTTGTTTAATACGTTGAGACAACACAGCACTACATTTACCCGTCTTAGGATGGAACTTAGTTGCCAACAAATAGGCGAATTGTTGCATTCAGGAGGCGATGTCCTGGGGGTGTGCTTTTTGTTTGTGTTTGTGATTTTGAATGTGGGGATCTGGGATGTGCAGAGAACATCACAGAAGAGTCAGTCAGGGTTGCATGTCCCCTTTCAAACGTGTGCGGAGTTATTACAGGTCTTTTTGGGGGGGATCCGTTTGTAGAAAGTTCAAGACCATACCCTGACTCTCATAATCGATCAATGGACAAATAGGAACTGAATAGCCAGGCGATAACAAGTCCGCGTATCAAGGTTGGTGAGGGGCCCTACAAACACCTCAGAAGACCCTCAGGGGCAGATGCTGGGCACACTTAACCCGGAGGGAACTGAGCTGGCACCTATCCTGCTTCAAGCATTGGGAAGAATGCTCACACAGGAGACGTGTAGACATACCCTGGGGCATCGCAACGACTTTGGCTCAAGGAAGGCAAAACCTACAGAGGAGGGGCTGGCACCGGGACAAGGGCAGTCTGTAGGCACCGAGGAGTTCCAAGTCGGGCAGAATGAACACTTACTGCAGAGAGCCAGTAGGAGGCTTTTTTAACCCTTGTGTCTTTACTGAAAACCTCTTTACTTTGACTTAGGTGGGGGCTTACATATTAGACCAACAACCTCAACAACCTATCAGACTTCTCAAAGGCTTGATCGCCCCCCTTCCCCCCCACCTTAGTTGTCCATTTCCTCCTTGTAGACTGTTCCCACTCCTTTCGCCAAGGTGACGCCGCCTCCTCTCCAGCGTCTTCCTTCCCTCCCCCTCCTACCTCGGGGAACTACCAAACGTCTCTTGGCTTTGGTATGAAAACAGGCCTCTTGATTAAAAAACAAACACACTTATAACAGCACTAACAGACAATATCTGCCCTTTTGTGATTGGCTGCACTAGCACAGTGTCCTCCAGAATCCACGTCATGAGGCGTTTCAGAGTCTCGTGGTCGATCGGATCCCAGTTGCGTGCTTGTCTATTCATTCTTCCGCTGCTGGGCATTCGGGCAGGGCCCACCTTCTTGCCGTTGGGAAGAGTGCTGTGTGATGAACAGTGTGCGCGGCTCTGCCATGCTCGTTCTTAGTCCCAGTGGATACCATGTCGGGGACCGCTGGCTCTGTCGGTGCTGCTATTCCCACGTGTCTGCGGAAGCACCATACTGCCTTCCACAGAGCAGCCTCCACTTCCACGACAGCTGCTCAAAGGACCAGCTCTCCAGAAAGAGTATGAGCTCTTGCTCTTAAATTTCTGCCGTATAATACATAGCACATATATGAAGTTTCCACATAGTAAGCACATACACACACACACACACACACACACGCACGCACGCACGCACGGGAACGCACACACGCACACAGATTTGCTAGGGAAATTAGATCATTAATGAGAGGAGTTATCCCACTTCTGCCCATCATTTATTTTCTGGGTGTATTTCATATTTTAGTTGATGGAGTTAGTGTCTGGGAATGTATTAAAACAAGACAGCTTTAACAATCCCCACAAATGGCATCGAAGTATTAAGTGCTTTGTGGGTTCACATCAAAAGCATGGGCATTTCCCCTATCACTGAAGAACCTGGAACATAAAGCCCTTTAATTCAATGTTTCTGAGGTGCCTCAGTCTTTTGAGATGCTTTGGATGATTTTGTTCCTTTAAATTTTGTTGTTGTTGTCAAAAGGGTCTTTTCTTGTTTTTGCTCTATCCAGGAGGTTAGAAAATCACTTAAGTTAGCGCAGACCGAGAAAGAGAACTACTGCTCTAGTCAATATTTACTTTACTTCCCTCTAGTCAATATTTACTGTATTGCACTTTCGTACATGCGTGGTTGTATCATATATATAAACAATGCACCCACTTTTCTTTTGTTTTGACCTTTATACAAATAGTTTCATTCCGTGAGGAGAGTTTGGATTTGCCTTTTTTACGTAACGTTATGTTTCTAAGGTTGAGGCTGGATGTTTTGTTTGTGTGTTTGTTTACTGGCTATTTGTATTGGGAATTGAATTTGTACTGTCTTGTCCAAAACTAGAGGGGCTTTGTATTCTTTTCCCCTGGGATGGATATGCTTCAAGATTCTTGCTTACTCTAAATTCTATAACTCTAAGATTTTCTTACAAGAGAAAAATATCATTTGAGAGTGTTAGTGCTATCTGATAATCATTCAGATATATCAGTCTTCAATATTTTATTTGCAGGAAACTTGTGTAACTTCCCTCTAGATCAGTGTTTCCCAAAGTGGGGGACACTGCCCCCTAGAGGCTACGGTAATATCCAATAATGGGCTTCAAAAGCTGATGCCTACACATTTTCCTGGATTATAGGCTACAATGAAGTACAGACATTTTTAATAGCCTAAGGGCACTGAGTAATTCTGCTGTTCTCCTGGATTTTAATTTTCCCTAAATTAAAAAATCTACAATTTAGATTGCCCTTATTTTGAGTATTCAATGTACCTATGTTTTGATTTAATAGTGTTTATCATTTTTATTAATTTTTAAATGAGGATCTGTCAGTTAAAAGAATGCTCCAGGAATCATGTAATCACTGTTGAATTACAGCCTCCGTAGCATGCAATGCCAAGTTCAATAGGCATCCTCTCTGGGCACCTTAAAGCTATTTAGTTACTTTCTGGCTTCCTGTGAGAAGTCAACAAGCATTTCTTTCTTATTTTGTAATCTGACTGTGATGGAGGCAGTTGTAAATAACTTTTAATGATTACACTGGAAATCTATTTGACTTCATAATTTGGAGTTCATGAATCCTAGAAAATTCTCAGCCATTCTATTCTTGATTACTGCTTTCTGTAATTCTTTCTACTCAAGTAAATGTATATTAGACCTTTGCACTATGTCCTTCAGATCTCTTAACTTTTCCTATTTTCATTACTTTTACATTGTGTGCTGCATTCGTCAAAATTTCTTCAGCTCTGTCTGCCAGTCCATTAACCTTGTATCTGAACTGGTATGCTCTTCACAGGCTGGAAAACTTTTCTGTCAAAGGGCCAAGTAGTAAATGTTTCATGATATGCATGCCGTGCAATCTCGGTTGCAATTACTGAAGAATGCCACTGCAGCGGGAAAGGAGTGCTCACGGCAGTGCACTAGTGAAACTACTGGAACAAGGAACAGCCTCCGTGGGCTCTGGCTGTAGTCTGCCAAGGTTTATTAATGTAGTAGTTAGATACTCTGTTGTCAATTTGAGACTATTATTAGTGAAGGGGTGGAGTTTAGCCTGCCAATCAAGCTGCAACTTGATGACCTCATTTGGAGGTGCTAAGGAGATAAATAGCTCACTCGAGGTGGGACACATACTCACTCCCTGCGAGACATTCCTGTTGACAAGACACATGGAGCTACCCTAGAGCCCTGGAGCTGGAGGAGCCACGTTTAGACCCTGCCAGCACTGAGATGCTTTAATTTTGGACACAGTTGCAACTGAAAAATGTATTCTTTTTTTCCCTCTAATCTTTTTTGCACAATTTTTCTTAATGCACAGTTGCTCTTTGATATAAAGTTCTCTCTTACACACACGAGTGTCTCTGACTTTGCTTCTCTAGTCAATTCTGACAAACACAACTGGCTGTTTGGCAGATGTGGAAAAGGATGTAGCAAGAGGGGCCGAGCAGAGGATCAGGGCTGAAAGCAGACAAGACCAGAAACATGCTTCCTTGTGTTTTATGGACAATGCAAAGGCATGCACCTGTGCGGATCGTAACACACTCCGGATGTTGTTGAGGAGACTGGGAATTCCCGAACACTTCATTGGGTTCACATGGAATGTGTACAATGGATTGAGAGGCAGTTATTTGCATAGAGCAAGGTATAGTGTGGGGTTTTAAACCAGGACAGGGTGTACGTCAGTGCTATATCCTTTCACCATACTTAGTTGATCTTGTGCGGAACAAAGAATTCGAGAAACAGGACATGAAGAAGGTGGCATGAGGTCCGGAGGAAGGCGTCACCACTTGCGTGACGCAGATGGCACAGCACTGCTTTCTCAAATCCGGGAGGAAGGAGGCACTTACTGACGAAAATCCAAGACTGCAGCCTTCAATATGGATTACGAGTCAAGGTACAGAAAACCACGCTCCCCACAACTGACCCAACAGGTAGCAGCATCATAGATGGTGGGAGGACGGAGGCTTTCAAGGATCTCATTCTGCATGGATCCACAATCAATACTCAGGAACACAACAGCCCAGTAGTCACATGATACACTGCATCGGGCAGAACTGCTGCACAAGACCCCTGAAAGCGTTGAGGAACAAAGATGTCACTCGGAGGACTATTTTCAATCGCCTCGCATGTGTGTGAAGGCTGGACAATAGCCAAGGAAGCCCGCAGAAGCATCAGTGCATTGGCAGGATGGCGCTGGCAAACAACACTGAAGGGGTATAGAAGAAGACACACATTTCTCTCGTAAGAAGTACAGCCAGAAGGCTCCCTCGAATCGAGGAGGGTAAGACTCCGTTTAACGTAATTGGACGCGTCATCAGGAGACCAGTCCCTGCATACCGCTCAGCAAAGTAGAACTCAAGCTCAAACGCACTCCCGTTCAGTTGGTTTCGACCCACAGCGACTCCACCGGCCAGAGCAGCACTGCCCCCCGGAGTTTCTGGCACTGCACATCTTCACAGGAGTAGAAAGTCTCATCTTTCTTCCACAGAGTGGCTGGCCTTTTCGAGCTGCTGACCTTGTGATTAGCAGCCCAACTCGTCAGTTACTCTGCCACTCGGGCTCTTTGGCAGAGGAGGGGGTCAGTGAGGAGGAGGAAGGCCCACGGGGCCTAACAGCTGTGAGAGGAGGGCTGTGCTGTGTCGGCAGTGACTTAATGCATTCTAGTTTCTAAATTAAATCGGTTTCATTTCTGGAGGCTCTATTTGGCTCGTTTTGATCT